TGTCATCCAGAGTGGATAAACACCTTATATTTGACTCCTTGTAGCTCTTCAGAATATCACATTACATTTATTTAACATTTTCCCTGCAGAGTTTGTTATTCATATACGAGTTTATTGTGAAATCTGACTCAGATTTCTGGTGCTGCGGTAATCAAACTCCTGCTGTTAACCTGTGCGGCTTGTTTCTCTTTCTTGCTTTGTGTAACATGGATCTCCCCCCTCCCTCCCCCCAGGGTTTGACACGGAAGAAGACATGTCCTGTCCATGTACTTCAGCTGCCAGGCTGTTCCTAAACACTGCTCACAGAGGTAAGAAAGAGAAAATCCACATTCTGCCGACTAAAGCTGCCTTAAACTTTGCTCCATTTAACCTACATAACATTTCGTTATGAGAGTCGTGCCACTAATGTCAACAGCAGCTGTAAAAGTGGGTTGTAGGGTTGGGACGCTAAAGATAGGCCAAGGATGTTACATCACAGCTTTTTTGTAGTCCTGAACTCTGGTACGTTTTTAGATTAAACTGATAAATATAAATAGGAAAAAAATGCTAATTTATTTATAAGCCTATATGTTGGTTTAGTTAACCTTTAACCCATATGATAATACTTAGAACAACACAGAAATCTATGTTATATCCTCAATATAATGGTAATCAGGATGCCCTGCAAGGCTTTAAACCTGGGTTTAACCAGAGACTAAGCCATTCTCAAGCACATATCAAGGAGCTCATTTTGAGCCTGGATCCAGATTTATTGTTGATTCTGTTCATGGTGGAGAATCCTGCTTCACAGCAGCAGGTTGAGCCAAACATCCTCTAAATGTGCAGGGTCATCTTTGAGCATGCCATTTCACTTTTCTTTCACCAGTTCACCGCAGTTCTTCCAGCAGTCCACACCGCAACTAACTGTTATTTTGCAAAGCGATTCATATGTCGATTATTTTTTTCGATTAATAGTCGGATAAACAAAGATTCCTTGAAGAAGATTTTTTAAGAAATTAAAGCAGGTGAAACTAAAACTTTTCCACTTGAGGAGTTCTGGATGGAGCAGATGGACAGACGAAACTTTTTTTTTTTTTTTTTTATCTGAAGTGTAAAATATTTATTAATGTTTTTATGATCTTATAATCTTTATAATTCCTGCTCTATCAGCTAAAAGCATGTTTTATAGTCTTGTCGTTTTCCTCTCTATGTTTTGTACTCAGCTGACTAAAGGCCTGGTTCTCCTCCCCCAGCAGCGTGTCGCAGTGAGCTTGTTGCAGATATTTTTGATTTATGTCCAATATTGAAGCGTGGTCTGCGCCGTGTTATTCCACGCCACAACACCAGAGGGCCATCAGGAACTAGCTGTGGGTCTAGATACGGCCGACGCGGTGAGGAAGGGGGGGCAAGTTTGTGCGACAACGGAGGGACGTGAGGGCCAAAAAGACCGGAGATCCAGGTGGAAAAGGGTCCCAGCGTTCTCGCGCACCTCGCTCTGCTAGCTG